ATAGTTACATGTTAGCTTCACTCTGTTTAGTTGCCTGTGTTAGCCGTTACCTTTATAATTTTAGCTTTTAGGTAAATTCTGTTAAATGATAGTTGTGCTGTTAGATGGACTTTAGTCGCTTTTAGCAAGATTCCTGAAAGCTGATAGACTCTGTTTGCTTATCTCTGCTGTTACCTTTACCATGTTAGCTTTTAGCTAAATTCTGCTAGATGTTAGCTTTGCTGTTAAGCTAACAGTGTTAGCTGTTAGCTAGACTCCTGAAAGCTAGCTAACAGATGGTGTTGGCTTCTGTGTTTGCTTGCCTGTGTTAGCTGTTAGCACTCATTTGTTAGGTGCTAGCTAAATTTGGCTAGATGCTATCTCTGCTCTGCTGCTAGGTGGACTCTATTAACTGTTAGCTAGACTCCTGAAAGCTGCTAGGTGTTAGCTTCACTGTGTTTCCCTGCCTGTGTTTCTCTAACACAGGCAGGGAAATGTAGAGTTAGCTACAAGCTACATCTACATTTACATCTCCATTTTGGTAGATGTAAGCTGTGCTGTTAGGTGAATACTGTTAGCATTTAGCATGACATTGTTAGTTATTTTGTCTGTGGAGTTGTCAGTTAACTGTTAGCTGGATTGTGCTAGCCTCAGTTTATTGCTAGCTCCAGTCTTATCGCTAGGCTAATTGGAAACAGTTAAATGTTAGCAGACTATTAATTTTTAGGTCAACTCTGAGATACTGTTAGCTTGACAATGTTGCCTATTAGCTCGCCTGTCCCTACTTTTCAGAAACAAACTACTTTAAATGACTGAGTTATTTGGTACCTGTTATTAACTGCCCAGGCAGGTATGAGGATGATGAGGTTTGTAAGGTGATGAAGCTGTGCTTCGGGTCCAGGGGATGAGCGCGGATGTGTCCAGGAATCATCTCCTGACAGGAAGTGAGACTCGCTCCATGGGAGAAACTTAGGATGGGCGATGCCATGGAGCACAACACCACAGCTCCGCCCCAAAGAAGGAGGTTGGATGACATCATTAAACCTGCATAATTACTGCCATTAGAAACTAAACCAATATATGCCAATAGAGAGCAGGGTAAGAGTAGAACTGGCAAATTAATCCAGAGACTTTACATTCAGGGGTTTTCTCTGTTCACCTAATCCTAATATTTATTTATGTCACAATAAAAAGTCAATTAATAAAATTTTAAATAACTTAAATTTGAAATAAGTTAAATTTCAAACAAGTAAATAACAAAATTTAATAAGTTACATAGAAAAATAAAGATTTGATTTTTCTATCTCTTCTAAATATAAAATGATTAGGTAGCAGGACGGGATCATAATGAGGAGCGTCCTCACCTCACAGCGCGTCGCCTCCAGCTCTGCTGTTTGCTGCTGGACTGAGGGTTTTATCCGATCTGGGAGTAAAGAGGAGGACTTCAGGACTTCACAGGATCCACTGGAGCGACGCACATAGAACCAGAACCAGTAGAACTGCAGAATCTACCCCAACGCTGTTCTATCTAATCTTCATGAGGTTTACGAAAGAAAAGCAACAAATTCACATATTATCAATGTGAAAAATGATCTGAAACTTAAAAAGTGTTTTGCCTTAAGACAAATTTAGTTAATTTTCTATTAATTATTCATCATTGTTAACTTTACTGATAAAATATAATTAAATTTTACTTGATGCACAAATAAGTGAAATGAGTTTATAAGTAATTAAAATGTTTCATTTCATTTATATATATGCTACTACTATTTTGTAAATATTAATTTATTCCAGTCACATTTTTTTCTAGCGTGTACACTGCAAAAACACAATTTCTCAGCTAATTTCTAGTGCAAATATCTTAACACTTGAAATAAGACAAAGTAACTTTGTAGGCAGACATAAATGCTAATTTTAAGTGAACAAACCATTAAAATACATATTAAAAAGTTCTAGTTCCACTAACAGCTTATTTCATTTACAACATTTTTTCATGTTTTAAGTAAAATTATCTGCCAGTTGAATTAGTACTTTTTAGATCAATATTAATGAAGTATTGACTTAAAACAAACTTCTATATTTTGCTGAAAATGTATTTGTCAGTTGGTTTTGTCTTATTTCATGTTTACTGAAATATTTGCACTAGAAACTAAACCAATACATACCAATACTTGGTACGATTTTGTGGTTTTGCAGTGTATAACTCAATTTACTGTTTAGTTGATGCAAAAATCATCTAAGCAAACAGTTTTCATCACTTTGTGAAGATTTTATAAACAAAAAATAAACCTTAACTCACTAAAAAGACTAAAAATGTGAACTGTGGAGCGTTTCTTCAGAGGAAATGTGACTCTTCTAGGTGAGTTATTTCTACAGGATTATCTTCAGGATGTTGGCCAGCTGCCTCCCTCCAGGATCTCCTGGACGTTTCTGTTGATCTTCTTTCTGAGCTCATTTCGCTCCCGAGCAGAAAGCAGGCGGTGGATTATCTGCCTAAACAGTGATGGAGAAGCGTTTCAGCGCAGCAAAACACAGCAGAGAGAAAAACTGTTTTCTGGACGGATGGATGGATCCAGGCGCGGGTTAGCCCTACGCGAGGCGAGGGAAGCTCTCGCTGGTGGGAATGTGTATTTTTTTGTTTTGTTTTATCTTATTTTTAAACCCAATTTAATAAAGCACATCAGCCCGACTGCACAGCCGCTTTTAACAGGCAGTGAAACGTCAGTCTGGGTCAGGCTGATGTTGTGCATCCACAGGAGGAGACATGAAAAGAAAGGAACAAAGAGGAGTGCGTCACATTAACCAACATGCAAAAAGGAAAGGATGGGTGGAGATTCAGACTTAGAGAGAGAAAAAATAAAAAGTTGAGCCACATTGACAGATATTTTCCACTGTTGAGGAGCAACAGGGAACCAAACACTGTCTGTCCTGGACATGTGTTTGTTTTTTATATGTGTTTAGAGCTTTAATCAGAGCAATCGGCAAATAACTAATCTGTTTGATCAATTAAAATCAATCCATACTGGCTTGAAAAAGAAAATAATTTGGCACCACTTTACAATAAAGCTAATAAGTAGTTCATATAAAGGTTATTAATTAATCTCTATACACTTTCTAAATCATAAATAACTGATTATTATGCATTAATTAAAGGTGAGGAGATTATATGCAAATTCATTTGTGATTACAAGGTAATCTGAAACTTTTAGTGTGGCAACAAACAGTGTCTCCTTCTCACTGTTATTTAGAGCATAATAACCAGTGCAAACGTGCAAAGCTTTTGCATGTTTTTGTACTTCCATGTAGATTTCTACTGCTTCTAAAAACAGGCATTTAACAACACACAAAAAAAACACCCAGATGATTTTTGGTAACAAATTTGTGTTTTCTGGTGTCTATAAAATGATCAGTTTCAAAAGCCTCCAGAATGTAACGTCACAAATCAGCAGTCGCTGCCCGTTACCTAGCAACCCCAGCAGAATTCTGCCCGTTACCTAGCAACCTAGGTGGAACTCCAGCATGTTTGGTCAGCTGGTATAGCCTCTGTATGTGCTGTGCAATGGCTGCTGGAAAAGACAAGTGTTTTGTTGTTGACTTACCTCTGGTTGTGTTGTTGTTGGTTGTGCAGGAGGCTGCACTTTTCAGAGATGTATGGTTGTATAATTGTGCATCTGATTAATATTTCATGATCTAAGAATAATTTTGTGCAAAAAAATGTCATAAACATGTTCTGTTATCCTAACCTGTTCAAGGAAACATCACAGATCATCTTTGATATGAAACTTTAAGCGTGATAAAAACAATAAAAAACTTTTCTTCCCTCCTTTTTTTTTTTTTACTTGTGCAACTGACACCTACTCAGGAATGTCTTTGTTCAGCTGTACATAAAAAATGCTTAAGGAAACAGGATGAGCAGCCTAGTCAAAGGCCCCTCCTCCTGCTCTCAAATACGTGAAACATGCTCTGCATTGCTTATAATTTCCTGTAACGAAGGGGAGTCCTGACCTGAGCTCAGGTGAGTCCAGCTCTTATTAATTCATCCTAATTTTATCCTGCAGCAAATATTTTACAGGAAGTAGATTAAATGCATCTGTTCTGTTTTTCATCTTTAGTAGGAAAAGGCTGAAATATTTCAACATGTTTTTTTTAGTTTTTGTACTTTTTTGAAGTTGTTTGGTTAAAACAAACATATTCTTTAAATCTTTGAAAGGTGAAGATACGTCAGGAAATAATAACTGGATGTTTTCTGTTGCTTCAGTGTGATGAAAACCTTCATTATTGTTTTAAATAAGCAGCCAGTTGGTCTGAACTGGCTGCAGTCACCAGTCTGGATCACTGACTGGTTCTTCTGGACTTACTGGTGTGCTTTCATGCTCAGCTGAGGCTGGAGTGATTTTACAAAACAAGATGAGCAGGAAAAACAACAAATAGGAAATAGGGTTTGTCTCACACAAATCATATTCAGACTGTCAGCCACCGTCCTGCAGCTCGTCTTCATCGTTCTGGTGTCTCATCTTCCTCTTGATGTCAGCCCGTCAGAACCAGATTGAGGAAGTTAGTCAAAGAGTAGCGTGTCAAACCGTAGCATAACATTTGAATGCACAGCCCAGAGGATGTGTTGCATGTCCATCGCTGTGCATGGAAAGCTTAAGGACACACCGGCTTTGTGTGAATGAGGAGGTGGATGCCATGTTTTCTGATGGCTTGAGTCGCATCAGGCGGATAGTTCCTCAGTTTCACCTCCCGTCTTCCGGATCAATTATTCTCAATGGAAAGTGACAGTCAAAGGTGTTGATCCTTGGAAAAAACACGATTTGACTTGCTGGATCTGTTTGGAAAGGTACTGCTTTTCTACCCTCCTTCCACTCAACTTTCCATCATTAATGTACTTGGAGGCAAAACTTTGTGAACAATCAGCTTTTGTGGTTGATCCTCCAGGTGGAAAGTGTCGGTCTCTGTTGCGATAACTGTGTAGATTATGGACAAATGAACGCTGCCTGTGTGTTTGTGTGTTACAGCTGGAAGATGCTAACCGTGTCAGTTTATCTGCTGCTTTGGTCCTTCACTGCATCGTCTTCAGGTACGAATGACTTGTTTCTATTATAACAGTAGAAAGTGTCAGAGTTTTTCACATTTGTGTAACTTACAGGAGTGGGAGCTTCTGCTCAGTGTCAACCTGGGTGGCTCCTCTACGGACGGACATGTTTTGCTTTCTTCCCTGTGTGGAGCTCTTGGACCAGCGCCAATGTAAATAAGAACCAACGTGTGTTTTCTCTCTGTCTCACTCTGTCACTCCTGTGTGTAATCTGAGTATCTGGTATTAGACTTTATGCTCTCAGACTGGAGGGAACCTCATGTTGCTCCACAGACCGGAGGAAAGGCAAATTGTCCTCCAGCTGACCAGCAGCAGGACACCTGTGTGGCTCGGTAGATACCAGGTGAGGAGAGGCATTAGATTTATGTGTTTTAGTTTCAACAAGCCCCCTCGTCTCCATCTTTGTTTTTCTCTCTCTGACAGAATAGATCAAGGATTTGGAGTGACGACTCCCTGCTTCACAACCGGATGGACGAAAAGACCAAAGAGTTTGGACTCTGCATGGAAATGATACCCAAAAGTAAGCAAAATGCATGAATGCAATATTTACACATCAAACGGCTGCTGTTAAATCTCACTAGTTTAAACACCTGATGAGTTAAAGGTCTTAACATTTACCTGTTTGTTTTCAAAGCTTGTTAGTGTATCACATTTCACTCCATCAGATGTAAGTAAAAACAAAAACTCCTTCCAAGCTGGATTAACACTTTACTGCAACATTTAAAATCAAACTATTGATAGTTGTTACTGGGTTTGGTTAAGGCGCATCTTTAAAGAACAGTGGCGTTCCAAACACTCATGACGGACCTGAACGGGAACAAAATGAATTCCTGATCATTTCAACATGTGTCCTCTGTAAACAAAAGGGAGAGCATGGTTCACCAAATCACATATCCATAAGGTGGTGCTGGTGATACAAACAATGGCCGCTTCCACAGGTAGGATTGAACTGGGCTCCCTATATCTAGAAGTGCGCACACACCTCCAAATTGTGTCCATACTTGTCTGTTCTGGTTGGTGAAACAGTGAAGAAAACTGTAAAGTTTTTCAGCTTAAGTGTAAAATCTCTATAGTAGTAAATAGTAGTAGCACACAGACTAGTAAATTTGAAGCCCCAGTGATGTCATTAGCACCAAACAAAGGGTGGATATGGAGGAAGGAAGGAGAAGTGCTGGAGCGGCCTATCAAATACTTTAAGATTTGAATGGTTCCAATATAAATTACATTTAGAAACTCACATGAACCACATTTAAGTTAAAAATTGGACTAAAAGTACTTCCTGTATCTATGTTTCTAGCTGGAGAGCTGCAGAGCGCCCCCTGTGGAGAACTTCGGTTCTACATCTGCACCGCTTCACCGAGGTAGGTCAAAGTTCAGAAGTGTTCACTTTGGGAGACATTTCAGCTACTTTATACGAGAGGTTTTCTGAGAAACCAAGAAGAACTGGGCTGGTTTACTTTCAGCTGGAAAGAACAAAGAGAGAATAAATGATTAAACACAGAGACACAGCAAACCGTTAAGAACTGAGCCAGGAGCATTTTTTATGAGTGCAGTTTGTGGGAGCCATAACTCTGTCAAAATCTGAAACTGGACAGAGACACAGATCAATACACAAACACTGGGCCAGGCACACCTTCTACGCAACAAGAAACAATCCAAGAGGACACAACGTTCATGGCAGCAGCAGCTGTGTGATTACATTACAGGGGAGAGATGCTAGGAGCTTCTCGTCTTTCAGTTTTCTGTTTGTTTACTCTCAGGTTTACCTCCGTTGACCTCAGCAGACACAAGCTGCCTCAACCAGGTGAGGTTGTAATAAAACCCCAATCAGGCAGAAATGATCAGACTGAAATCTTATCATCTGGGGAAAAATGTGATCAACATGTTTTGTATAGACCATACACCCACCGTAACCTGTTCAGAAAGGATAGGAGGTCAGTTTCAGGTGAAGGTTTAGTAGGTTAGCTTCAGGTGGAGGTTTAGTAGGTTAGCTTCAGGTGGAGGTTTAGTAGGTTAGCTTCAGGTGGAGGTTTAGTCACCTTCAGTGGTCAGTAGAGACTTCACCTGGACATTGCTGTGCGTCTCGCTCCAGCCTGTAAATGCCCCTCGGTCTGTGCCTCCTCTTGCTCAGGGCTCGTCCCCGGACTGCTTCTGTTCGACTTCATCTGGGACTCCAGCTCTCATCAAGCCGAGAAGATTTTCCTCTCATCCTCGCTGCTCAGAGGCCTGAGGTCTGGCAATCTGACGGAGCGCTGCTACAACACATTCCTGCAGCAGGAGGAGACTTACCTGCTCAGAGTCAAAAGCACACTTGAGGTCAGAGGTCACCACTGTTATACTATCATACACTTTATTGGGCCTCATTTCCACTGAGTGGTGCAGCCATTGATGTGTATCACTGGATTGGACATCGCCTATTAGCCGCTACAGCTAGCGACGCAGGCGCTGGCCGTTACTACTCATTGAGTCATGTCCATTGTCCCGATACGATACGGGTTGAGCAGAAATCTGTCACAAAAATGGTCGCAGCGCCATTATTTCCTGTGCGAATCTTATAAGTTATGGCTTAATTAACAGACCCGTTGCCATGGCGACCGGCAGACAGAAAGCTCCACCAGAGCACAACCTGGTTTCAGAGTGTCTTCTGAAAGAGGGAGTTACCACCTTTTCTTAAAAATGTCTGCTAAATTTGTCCTTGAATTTTTTCATGTTTTATTCAGTTGCATCATTTGAACATTTACTTTCTAACATTTATATGGAAAAGGCGGATCAGAGGACAGAGTCATTATCTGTGGGTGTCTGTAGCTGCGTTTCTGTGACAAATGTCCACAAAACTCTGTCAAGTTTGTTTTGAAAAACCACAATTTTTCATTTGCACTGTTTCCATTAAATAAGAGACTGAATTAAAATCATCATCTAAAGCAGCCCAGTCATGTTTGTCTCCTCTTGTTTCACTGGGCAGGTTCTGGTTGGGAGTCTTCATGAACACAGCACAATCAGGTCGCTGCTGCTGGACACAGTCAGACGATACGGGGCAGGAAAGCAGGTGACCAGAACAGATAACAGATAAATTACCACTAATGACTCCAAACTGCATTTAAAATGAAAAGATGAATTTTGGTTGACCTTCATTCTCTCCTCCTGCAGAGCCTCCATCTTTCCTCCCCGGCCCCTCAGTGGCTCCAGTGGGCCCTGAAGTCTTTCCACCGGGTGGTTCTGGACGACCCGGTGTACTGGCTCGTGGCTTTGTCGGCCCGGGCCTGCCTGCAGGACTTTGTGGCTCAGAAGCTGCATCAGGAACTCGGGTCGCAGGTTCCAAGCCTGAAAGAGAACAATTTCTACCAGATGTGGAGGAGGGAGAACGAGGACTTTGTCTGGGTAAAGAGGTAGGTGTGAACGGCTTCGATGTAATCATTTAAAATATGTTTGGACCAGAAATAAACCAGAAACATTTAGCCAACATCACCGAGACTCTACCACACACAAACTGGATAGACTTTTAGTAACTACAGTGAAAAAAACCCACATCACACGAGCCGTATGATTAACAACCGGATGTTGCTACTGGCAGAAACCACAAAGAAGACAACAACAGGAAGTAGTTGTAAGATGATGCTGCGGCTTGTTTTTTAATAACTTCTCACATGAACAAACTTACTTATGTGTGATTTCTTATACTGCAATTGCAAAATTGTGTTTTTTTCCTACTTTAATGGAATATTGACAAAGTTTTACGCACATTTGTAATGGAAACCCAGCTGGTTTTGTCTGCTAAGAGGTGCTAGCTAACGACATTTGATGACCAAATACCAGGATTTTTATGACAGGAGGCTAAATGAACTCTAATCACAACAGGAAGTCGTTCATACCTTTATCACTGTAGATGACACCAAAATATAGCAGATAAATGCCACAACATCAATGAAACATGTGCAAATGGACCATCAAACTCTCCAAAACTTTGAAAACCCCTGGTTTAGATCAAGTGTATTCATTTGTTTGAATGACCTAGTCAAAGTCCAGACTAAAGAACCTGTAGCAAAACTTCAAAACTGATGATTACAAATCCTCTCCATCCAATTTGACTGGCAAAAATATCTGCCTGCAGATGTACAAAGTTGGTACCCAAAGGACTTGTTGGTTCTGTGGACAAATTCCTTCTAAAATCTATAAAAAAGTTTATACTTTGTTCTTTAATCTGCGTTTGGCAGATTCAAAGCAGTGATGGAGGAGTACCAGGATGAAATGGACGCCTATAAAGCAACCGCCATCTTCAGAGAGCACATGATGTATCAGAAGAGCCTCCATAACTTTGTGTAAGAATAAAGCAGGTCTGTCTGTGCTACTGGTGTGATGAAGAGTCTCTAAATGTTTTTATTCTGCTGCAGGAGCTGTGAGGACGAAGGCGATGAAGAAATCCACATCAGGGCCGATGTTTTATAGATTCCTCAGAGTTCAACTCACATATTTAATATTTTCAAAACAGGAATATTTACCAGATCCTTCAGGACTTGAATGAAAAGATTACTCTTTTAGTTTTTTTTAAGGTAAGGTAATTTTATTTATATAGCATATTTCCAGCAACAAGCCAATTCAAAGTGCTTTACATGAGTTAAAAGGAAATACAAACAAAAAAATACGTAAATTTTACACAGGCTCTATGCGCCCGCCAAGTTTAGTGAGTTTTTGAATATGATAAAGCCCCCAAAAAGCCAATTCATTTGGGATAATAATAATAATAATAATAATAATAATAATAAACAGCACAATTTCAATAGGCCTTCGCAGCGCTTAGCTGCTCGGGCCTAATAACAAACCAAAGGAAAAGAGAAAAGGACACATTAGGGCGGATGGCAACATTCAGACATTCAGACAAAACAAAGGGGCCAGACAAAAACAGAGGAAGCAGGGTTTTTTAAGTTTAATATTGTTTTATCTGATCAATGATCAATCAAAAATAATCATGTTTGTACATAAAATTGCACTGAAGATGCAGATGCAGTTACAGTTTTACTCCAGTTCACTACAACAGAGGTGTGTTTTTATGTGTTGTCAGGGATTTTGTGTGTTTAATATGTTATAAACCTTTTTAATATGAACCAACATACGTTTGGTTTTTATCATGTTTCTGTGATAGTTGTGGACAGGTTTCTCTTTAGCTAGCTTCTTAAAGTGATGCTAGCTGGTTAAACGTCATGAAAACAGTCTCCATTCCTCTTCTCCCTCCGTCATGTGAAAATGTAACAACAAATGAATCCAGTTTCTCCCGAAGATGAAATTTATTGTGTGTCTTAAATGAAAAGTATGTTTTTTTGCACTTTTTTTTCTCTTTTTACTGATATTTTTTGTAGTGAAAGGTTATAGGATAAATGGCTGACTCTGTCTCCCTCTGCTGGCTGAAATCTAAAACTGCACTCTTCTAGATGTCAGTGGATGAACCACAATCAGAAATAACCTGATTAAAGATACGAAAATTAACTTTTTAAATGATTATTTCATTTTATTAAAGGGAAAAGCTACAAAAGCAAACCTGTTCTGACGTGGAAAGTAATCACTCCGTGGTTGTGGCAGAAATCACTGATATCTACATGATTATAGAGGAAATTTAGTGATCTCTTCTTTACACAATTGTTTTATTTTATCACCTCGATGTCTGACTGTCACTGTGATGGTTTGTTTATTAAAGGCTTTAATTTTAGGTCAGTTGTAATGAGACAAACTCTTTCCATAAAGGTCCATTCTTGTCTCATCAGTCCAAAGTTTTAGGATCATCAAGACATTTTTTTGGTAAAACATGAGATGTGACTTTATGGTTTTTTAGGTGAGCAGTGGTTTTTGACCAGGACTCTTCTGTTTCTGCCCAGTCTCTCCTTCTTTCTGTCCTTAATTGAGGCAAGTAACTCGTTCTGGGTTCTTAGTGACCTTCTGGATGAGTCGTCAATGCATTGTTGATGATAGTTCGTAGTCCAGCCCCTCCTGGGAAGGAACATTGTGATTCTTGCGTCCAAGAGCCTTAGAAATGGCTCAATGCCCCTTATCAAGGGGATTAACAAGAAACAGTAATCAGAACAACAAACAAACTCCTCATGGTCAGTTTTTTTTGGGGGGGGGTTTTCACCAGATTTATTGCAGATTTTCTTTTCTGATACTTTAATTATAACTGGTACAACTAGAACCTGGACTCTAGTTGATTCTTTGGGTAAAACTCTTTATGGTTGATGCTGTAATACCCAAGGCGTCGCCTATATTGCCCTGTTCGCTGCTCACCTGTCGTTACCTGTCAGGGCAGAGTAGATCGTGGTTGTTGGGTGGACTCCTGTTGTCCCTCAATGCATCGGGTACACATGCTAATCATCATCTGATCAGCCTACCAGTACATAACAACCAGCTGAAGCCTGTGTCCTCCATCAGGTTGTTGTTTAGAGTAATTAGGCTGTTGAGCTCCTCAGCAACTGTTTGCATGTTCTGTTCTTGGATCTCTGTCTCGTTGAAGCCTTCCAAGATTTGCCCACTCATATTCTCCTTGCTCCAGCCAATCTCTGTGATTCCTCCGTTGGTCTTTTGTTTCTTCGGTAAAACCTCTTTAGTACTCATCATACCAACTCACCTGCCTGTCCTCTACTAGTGCTCTTCCAGTGTCCACCCTGGATCTCTAGAGTAAACTTTTCTCCTCTGAAAATATTCCTGTTACTCAGACTGACCTTCACCTTTTTGACAGAACAGCACTCTGAAATGATGACTGCTTTCCCAGCTGAAAGCCAGTCCAATCTTCCTTGCATTTTTCTAAAGGAATCTTGTAAACTTTCTAACCTTTTCATGATTGGCTCTTAGTTTGACATTATGCAAATGTGGTCTCAACATCAGTAACCTGGAGTTGTCAAAGGTACAGCTAAGTGTTGCTTCATTCCTGTAGATCTGTACCTTCCAACAAGGTTCAATATTTTCTAGAAAGTGGAAAGCTGCCATCAGTGCATGTTACGGCTTTGTTCCATCGATGTCAGACTTGTCGAGAGCGCAGCTAGCAGTTGGCCTGTCAGTAGTCTGTTAACTGGAACTGTGGATCAATGGGTTGTGTGACTTCTCTGATTAATGCTCTCCTTGCACAGCTTGTCAATTTGGATGTGAATATCAAACCTTTTTGTGACCTTTCTGCTGTATCCTTGGTCTTCTTGATGCTAATTGTCCTCTAATAAACTCTGCTGTCTCTTTTCCACCATATGGCACATGTCGGTGTGGTTTGGTACAGTCTGGTTCTACTCTAAAAATGGCCCATACAACCAACCCTTTCCACAAAATTCCTGGACCCTTTCAGCTGCAGGTTCAAAGGACAATGGTACGGTAGGATGGTTTGGCTGGTGTCACACAACACAGTCCACTGACTGAGAGACAGAATGACCACACCTGTTTGTTGTGCCTGAGAGTTCTTGTATTCATGCATCTAGCCTCATATCAGATGGCAACTGCAGTGAGTCAATGGTAAAAATGAACGTCATCCAGTCAACTAGTGATAAATTTGCACTTAATCTTTGACGGATACAACAAAGCTAATTAACTAGCTTGCAATGGTATATCAGCAGCTACCTACTAATAGCTTCAACCACCTCTTGTTCCATCAGAGGAAACATCTGTGTTTTATAAAGACGCTGGAGCCCTTTCTACATGCAAATGGCTGAGTAAATGTATGGTTTTGGAGAAATTGTAGTCTGCGATTTTACAGAAAAACTACAATTTAACCCGTTCAAATGACAACTTTTTATGAACTGTGGAGAAGAGCTCTAGTGAAGCCAGCTGCACATTATCTAGAAAACAGAGACTACTTCCAGCTGCATTTCTTCGTGGTTTTCGCCAGGAGTAACATCTATTGATCATGTGACTCATGAGGAAAAAGTGTTTCCATTGCAGTTCTGCCAAATACATCGATTTTGATACGGCCGAAAAAACACCTTATCCTAGCGCAAAAACTTTTTATCGAAAAAAGTGAGGTTATTTTTTTTCTAAATTGGCTTGTTTCTGCTAAGTGGGTATATTTTCGTTATCCAGGTTGCGCAGTTTTATGGTTAATGGACACAATGAACAGTTTACAGCCTGAACCATCATTTCAAAGAGTTACATGATCATGTCTGCAAGGGTTTCAGGTATTTTCTGGGTCTCTTCATGGTGGGAACTGTATAAAACCAGGACTTCATGTACAAGAAACACTGCTTCTCCTCCTCTGTGTTACTCTCACACAGAGAGAGGGAGAGAGAGAAAGAGAGGAGGCGGAAACCTCCATCTGCCCTGCTCGGTGACCGACCCGTCATCCTCAGGAACCGGGAGGAGACGGATCTTCTCCTCGCTTCTCTCCCTTCTACTTTATATAACACTGGATGCAGAAACGGGAATAACAACGGGAGGAAGGATGAAGTGAAGAAGTAAAATCAGGAGATTTAATATGGATGAGATCTATAGTCTATATATAGGCTATGCCCCGGACTGCACCACCGCCGCCGCCGCCACCATCTGCCCTCATGGTACCGGTAAGTCACGGAGGGAAAAGCCGGGGATCGACTCGTCCCGGGGCGGGTTGGTCCCGGCTATGACCGGGCGCTGATGCTAACTGACCCGTGAAAAATGACTTCTGAGGTCTTGTGAGGTCGGGTTACCGTTCAGCCATGTTGCAGGAGAGGGGGCGGGAGGGAAGAGGAGCGGAGGTGTGTGTGTAACAGTGTGTAACAGTGTGTGTGTGTATGTGTGTGGTCGCGCGCTGACACCTGCCCCTGTTCCCGGTAACGAGAGGCAGCGCGAGCGGAAACCGTTAGAGCCGTTCGGAACTGAACATCCCAAAACCCCGCGAGATGACTTTCTGACTCGGCGTGCCGGGGAGTGTGAGCGCCGTTCAGCCATGTTGCAGCAGGAGGGAGACGGAGGGAGAGAGGTAACCGACCAGCTAACGCACAGCGGGGCTCCGGGGGGCTCTGACACCGACCGACCGACCGACCAACACCGAGGGGACCGGAGGGGAGGGGAGCGAAGAGGAGGGGGGGTTGTGGTGAAACTGGTGTCCGGTGGATTCTCGCTCCCCTGCCGGATGCGGCGGCAGCAGCCCGCATGGTGTCGCCTAGAGACAGGGGCGAGAGGCTGAAGGAAACGGGGTCGAGGGTAGCGAGAACACCGAGGCGAAAGAACACAACATGTTCCCGTTATCTACTGAGAAAAAATACTTCGTTTTGATGTTTAATGTTTTACTTAAAGCAACATGTTTGGGGTGAATGTTGTCTTTAAATATTTGTTGAAGAATAAATCATTTTAAAAAATTGCATTATATTTTATAAATGTAACTTTGTAAAACAATCTGCTTAATTTTATTTTATTTTTTCTGCTTAAAAAGATTTTTTATTTTTTTATTTTTTTGTGTTATAGTATTTGCAAATGTTCATTATAATTTGACAAAATTTGTTTTCTTGGAAAAAATAACATTTACAAATATTTATTTTTATTTATTGTCATTTTATTTTTTAATACATTCTTTATAGTTGTAATAATGAATTTAACTATATTCTTTGTTTTTTATTTTTAAATGTAACTTACATATGACTTTGTATTTATTTCTCTTAATTGATTTATTAATCAAATTTTAATGTTTTATTTAATCTATGTTGCTTTAAAAAAATTTTACCTTAACGTATTAAAAAAAGTTTTTTATTTGATCTTTTTGCTATTTTTTGTACCTTTCTTACCACTTTCTTTTTAATTTGCATTATTTATGATATTTAATTTACATTTAATTTTATTTTGTTATTTATATTTTACTTAATTTGTTTGTTAATGTGAGAAATGTATTATCTTATTGCTTTAATGAGTTTAATAATAGACCTGAAGGGTCATAACGACAGTATGTACACCTAAACATTTTTTAAAATTATAAATTATTCTATTCTGATCCCTTATTATATTTTGATTTTCATGCCATGTTTGAATTTAACTGTTGTGACAAATTTTTCAATATTTATTTTCTATTTCATGGGTATACAGTTAGCTAAATGTACATATAGTGTCTGCATGTGGTGTTTAGGGCAGAGACAGGATGGCAGAGCATGAAGAGATCAAGACTAACAGATGGTGGCAGGCTGAAGTGACGATTATTGATCGTAATTGATGATTGCTTGTCGGTGGGAAGGTCAGGGCGGGAGATGACACAGCAGGGTTTGTTACCATGGCGGTTACAGGAAAGATTTATCCTCTTATTATTATTAGGCTCTATCTGTTTAATAATTGATTCATTCACAGATTCACTTTGTTCGTGTTCCTCTTCCACTTTCTCACCCTCGTCCTCCTCCCTGCTCATCTTCCTCTCTCCCCGGCTTCACCTCGCTCCCCTCCATCCGTCTCTCTTCTTCTCTGTCTTTCAGGTCAATGAGAGGCAGCAACAGCTCGCTGTGAAGAGCAAATCCTCCCTCTCCTCTCTTCTCCACCATGATCTCCTCTCTTCCATACGTTAGCCTTCTTATTTTAGCAGCACTGCCTTCCTCCTCCTCTTTCTCCTCCTTTTCTTTCTCTCTTGCCCTTCTCTTTCTCTGAGTTTTGACTCTTGATTTTTCCTGTTTTATTTATTTTTTTGTTTTTTCCGTCAAACACACACGCACACACTCTTGTGAGATGAAGCGTGGGTCGAGTGTGTTGCAGCCTCCCTCTGATGCAGCCAAACGACACACACACCCCGCTCTGACAAAGACACACTCCGGTGATGAGGCTTTGTCGATGAGTGTGTGTGACGCGCGCGCCGCAGGTTCGAGTCCATTCCCAGCAGCCACCTCTCTGTTCTGCCCTGATGTCAGCACCAAGATGGCGTCTGACCTCCTCATCAGGCTTTCAGGTAGACACACACACAGATTCATCAGTTTACATGGTGAGCTTCATTTCTGCACTTCTCCAGGATTTGACCTTTTTTCACTGACTTTAAAGTCAAATTATTTTCATTTTGAGACATTTCAAGATCACAAATGTTCTCAAATTGTGCCAGGATGTTTAGATAAAACCCTTTAAAGATGAGCTATTATGCTTTCTTTAACAGATCTATGTATGCAAAACAGTAAATCTAAGTAAGCTGGTGTTGGCCACGCCCCCCAGCTCAACGTTTACACACGGCTGTGAAAATGGCTGCAATCAGATACACAATTATACAACCATATATCTTTGAAAAGCAGAAGTGGAGCCTCTTGCACAATCAACTATGCAGCAAGTGGTTTCTGGATGGTAATCAATCAGTCAATCAAGTTTATTTGTAGCACATTTCAACAACATGGCAGATCAAACTGCTTTCCATCATAAACACATCATCAATAATTGTGAAGTCCAATAACATTAAATTTTGTCATGTACCGTCGTTAAAATCATCAACATGTTGGTCAATATTCCATTTATTATGGTTCAAAAGCAACTCTAAACAGCTGGGTTGTTAGACCTGATTTAAAGGAAATCAGTGTTTCAGCTGTTTTGCAGTTTTCTGAAAGTTTGTTCCAGATTTGGTAAGTCAACAACAAAACACTCGTCTTTTCCAGCAGCCGTCGTACAGCAGTAAAACCAGCTGACCAAACGTGCTGGAGATCAGCTTGGGTTGCTAGGTGACAGGTGGCGTTCCGTTGGGGTTGCTAGGTAACAGCTCAGTGCCCGTTTAATGTGACGTAACAATCAGAAGGTTTTTGAAATGGCTCATTTTCCAGACACCAAAAAACGCCTGGGTGATTTTTTAAAGTGCTTTGGTTGTTTTTAGAAGCAGTTAAAACCCAACTGGAAGATCTAATTTAGAAATATTTGCAGTATATTTATGTTTGATGGTAAATATGACTGTTTGTTACTCGCCACATTGATCACAGATTATAATTTGGCATCCAGTGAGGCTTAGGCAACGGTGTAGTAAAAGTAAGAAAGGAAGGACTGATTGATGTATTTTGGCAGAATCCAGATTAAAAACTGCTTTGACTTCATTGACAAAACAATATTTAAGCAAAAAACTGTTATCTTGAAAGTTATATGTATGGAGTTTAGAGGGCCACATAAAATGCCACAGTGTGCTGGATTTGGCCCCTGAACCCTGAGTTTAGCACACATGCTCTAAAGAAAGCAGAAAAAGCTCTGATTATAGGGAAAGTGTTAAAAATCATTAAAATTTGGGCTACCTGGGCAAAGGGAAGCTTAACCTGTCAACATGTCTGCTGCAGAGCGGCAACAGATGGGGAGAAATTGGGAAAAGTTACCTGATTTAATGAAATATTGCTGACTCTGAGGCCCAAGTGCAGCCAATTTATTCCAGCTGTAACTGAAAAACGATCCGGCAGACAGGCAAAGCAGCAGCAACCATCGAAGAAAGCTGTCATCTCAACCGAGCACATGCAAATTCCTCAGACTTACAGAGGATTAGGGGGGGAAATGCACCAAATCTTTGAAACAGAGTGGCATTTATTTGGCAACCTGGTAAATTACCAAACCTAAAATAATCTAAAATTATTTCCTCACCCAAACCTCCTGGATCCAGAAACGTTCCCTAAAAATAGCAGAAGAACGCTGTCTGATTATTTGTATTCTCTGCACAGCCAAGTTGGATTCGTTGAGCTTTGGAAAGCTACTGAATTTTTTTTAAAATATTGCACAACTTTTCATACACCTTTAACTTTTTAACTTATTTTTGGATAGAAAGTGAAAAGACAGTGGCTGGAAACAGATACATGGAGCATTAATTAGAGCAGCAGATGAGAGAATCAGTTCATAGCTGTCTGTCTTAATGGTTTAGGTATATTAAGGTATATAACTTAAACCTTAATATACCTGCATATTATGCAGGTGTACCCAGGCCTGTCACAATAACAAATTTTGCTGAGCGATTAATTGTCTAAAAAATTATTGTGATAAACGATAATATTGTTTCAAGACCTTTTGACACTGATTTAATGGAAATGACTAATAATGCATGTGATTTCCTGCCATAGATAGAAACACTTTATTTTCAAAAGAACACATAACACTGGAACTGATAAACTAAATAAACTAAACAACCAAAAACAAAAATAAAATGGATTCTCAGTCTCCATTAACAAAAAACGTATTTGAATAAAAACTAAGCAACATAAAGCCAAATTGGGAATAAATACTGCATTCAGCCAAAAGAGTGCAGATTATGAAGTCTGTATACTATAGTGGCCATCCATCCATCCATCCATCCATCCATCCATCAGGCTAGTGCAAGTCTTCAGAGGTCAAAGGTTAAAAGTTGGACTATACCCCAACAGGCCAGTCTACCTCAGGATAAACCAGTTGCTTGGCTGGTCATTGGTTGCAACTTTAACGTCTAAATTACAATCTGGTTGGATGATTAAGACTACATTTAAAAATAACATCAAACCGGTAACAAAAGGAAAGAAGAAAATCTGATGACAACCTCAAATTAAATTATCATAAATTGAGTAAAATGGAATAAAATCCCAGAAAACTGGATGCTATCACCCTGCTATGTCATGGTATCGTCAGGATCTCTGCCGACCTTTGACCTTTCAGGGTTCAAGTCTGTCCTGTCAGCTGAACTCTCTCTCTCTCCCTTCAGAGGCCACCCAGAAGGCCCAGATGCATCCTGGGAGCCAGGAGGAGGCGGAGCAGCAGGACGAACCCGGCGTCGCCCTGTCGCCGGACGGCCCCGGTGCGAGTCCCGAGCCGCCGTCGCTGACCCACACCCCGGAGGGAAACGCTGTCACAGACACCCTGGCCTCAGACCTGCTCAGGAAGCTGGCAGGTACAGACAGACTGACCGACGTTACAGAAACGTCGCCATGTTCACAGATAATAAAGAACACTTTGTCATGTTTCCTGGTGTTACAGAGCGCCAGGATGTCAGCGGCCACATGTTGAGGCTCAAAGAGGAAGAGGAGCCTCTGGAGGTCGACGCCATGACCCCAAGTCAGCCGGTCGTCAAGGAGACGACTCATTCCACCTTAAGGATGGCGAACCACCATCTCTTCACTGTAAAACCAGAAAACCAGTTCCTCACCAGGAATAACCCAGCTGACCAGTTGCACCCTGGAGCCAATATTTTGGACCAGTACAACTTTGGTCTAAATGCAGCAGATGGATTTTCTTCCTCTAACCCAGCAGACTGCTTCTTGAACTCATCAAACGGTTTTCAGTTTCAGGTGAAACTGGAGGATTGTTCAGCTCCTGAAACCGCAGTGGAGGACCTGCTTCACCCCAGAGCCAAGATGGACGACCTTCGTCCTGTCAAAGCAAAGATTTCAGAGAAAACGTTCAATGGAGCTAAGATGAGCAACAAGTTTTTCTCTGGTATCACGAAGGAGAGCCAGTTTCCTTCAGCGGCCATGTTGGAGAACGGGATTGTATCTGGAGCCAAGATGGCCGCTCAGGTTTTCTCTGGAGCGAAAATAGAGGAGCATTTTTTCTTTGGAGCCAAGATGGAGGACGAGTGCCTGAGAGCAGTCCTGTGGCAGGACATGTCCGTCAACCTGGCCTCTACGCTACTGCATCAGCTCTCCGGTAAGATAATTAATCACTGGTTGTTTTCAGGTCAATACGTTGCTTTTCTTCAGATATAGAGCAACTTTATTCTCCAGGGTCAATGTGAACTCAAGTGAAACCCTAAAATGGAAACCTAGAAAGAAAACAGTTACTGCTCAAACTGCGGTTGAGCCGATGAATTTCATGGTTGGTTAAATTCACTGTCACATGATTCTGATATTCTGGTTTGATCAGGAGTCATAAGATTTAACCGACCGAAATGGAGATCAGAACCAAACTCAGCAGAAATTGGGTGTAGAAATACAAATAGATTAAATTACATTTGAGGTTTTACCTTTTTCTATTGGGAATGCCCGTGTTTTAGCCTGTTGGTCCGATATTGATAACCAATGTTTGCTTCCATCTTGCTGACATTTAAGTTTCATTAGGGGCGGGGCTGGTCATGTGGTATTTGTTCGGTCATGTCACTATGATAGTGATGCAGCAAAGGATTGTGGGGAGCTTAGCTAAATCAGAGACGCAACATGGTTGTTGTTTTTTGGCAAAATGGTAGGGAAATACATATAATTCAGTAAATGTCAGGCATAACTGTAATATTAATTTTGGATATAGATATCTAACCACATCTTTATATTGTTGCAGCCCTACTTTCTATAATTTATTGTGATAATTGATGAAAATACTGAACTACCAAGAGAAATGAACCAACCTGTTGAAGGTTCAGCACCTGGAGATCTATGGTTTGTGCTGTTTGTTTATACTTGTTAAAAAACAGAGTAAACTTGATACAATCTGACACCATAACATGTCAGAAAACAAAGAAAAGCTCAAATTACAGCTGGGCGATATGGCTGAATAACATACCATTGTACAAACGTTTTTGTCTATTCATAATTATTCATTTTTTTCTTTAAATATCTGAAATACTGCCAAACCAGTGGCATGATCTTTCCTTGAAACTGCTACTGTGCAAGTTACTCAGTAGGTCGTTGCTAGGTAACCAAAGAGTGAGTGAGTTGCTAGGTAACCAAAGAGTGAGTGAGTTGATTCCACCAATTTAGCTTAGCTAGCTGTGAAAGGTTGTGAGAGCGACTAAATCTCCCAGAATGCTGTGCGGCTCTGGGTCAGAGTTAGTGAAATTATTAAACATTTTATCGGATTTATTATCTATTGATTTTGATCATGTGTCTATCGCAACACTTATTGTTATTGAATTATTTTCCAGGCTTAGCTCAAATGTTACTGTAAGACAACTGAAAATCAATTTGGAAAAAATCGATTGGAGCTTAACGATCCAAATAACAGCTGAGAAAGCTGACAAACTCAGTCAAAGTATTATAAACCTGCTGGTGAAACAACACAGGCTGTCTGGGCTTTAATTGATGAGTTATAAAATAACTTTTTCTTGGTTGTCGACAGAGAAGGTCAGTAAGTCCAGCTGTCAGCAGGTGGAGAGGATGGCTCCGCCCATCAGAAGCAGGTAGCATAAATAATTCCTACAGATAACCTCACCATAAATAAATAAATCTCAGTTATGTGCCTGACTCTGTCTGTCTGTTTGTAGTCCTGCTCTGAAGATCAACATGGACCCTGTCCCTTCCTCTCCACTGTTGAGCGCCAGAGAAACCCCACATGGTAATAAAACCTGCTTTGGTTTGTTTTGCTTTTATTTAGCAGCAGAACAAACCCGAATGGAACCAGGCCAACATTTCTTTCAGATACCATCAGTATGGGACGATCTTGATTGACCAATCACAGACCAGCGAGCAACAGTTGGTGATAGTTTTGTTTTGGCATTTATGAATGTTATTCACTTTAACATGAACTAATCCAGATGTTTACTTGAGATCTGGTTTGGGGAAATATTGGTGAAACCCAATAAACCTGTCAGAACGGGCTCAACTTAGTGAAGAAACACACGTTTCTGTAGAGACAGAAAAGTGTGCTATGATCACTGGTTTTTGGTTCTATATTTAATTTCTGGTTATATTATTGTTAGGCATGTGTTGACATTAAGCCTGTTACTATGACAAATTTAGCTGGATGATAAATTGTCCCAGAAATTACTGTGATAAGCCATTTTAACTAATATATTATTAATAATAATAACGTATTAATGCAAGTACACCCTCTCAAATCTTGAGTGTCTACAGAACATACAACTGCTGGACTGTCAGGCGTGAAAACAGCCGCCCAGCCTCTGTTCCTGCCACAGCTGTTCCACATCTCCTCTGATTGGCTCACCTGGTTCCCATCCCAATCTCTACTCCTTCCTCAGTATATCATCTCTCTTTTCTGTTACTTTCATAAGGGTTTCATGTTGGTGACAGTCATCGTCTGTCTTTATGTTTAAATTATTAAAAATCCCCCACTTCGCCGCTCTTCGTCATGTTGGTTCCAACTAAAACCAAACCAAAAAAGTCCAGTTTGGTTTAGTAACAGCCTGACTGAATCTAGTTAGAGCTGTTGTTGTAACCCACCTGTTATCTGATATTCACTGATAAAGCAGTAGTGTTTTTATCTGAATACAACACAAACACGCTAATGATGCAGAACACAGCACCGCCGGTTTTTCCTTCAGGATGCGTAGGTCTCTCTCTGTTGATAGCAGTCTCTTGGCTCTGTTTTCTTTTAATTAGACATTTAATTAAACATGGAGTCAACATCATCACTGATGTGTCTCACCTGTCACTCCCGACCTTATTTTGAATAATAAAAAGTGACAGGGCTGAGGAGAGCTGAAATATTGATGGAAGCGAATTTAAAGTGAAAGCGGGTTCACCGAAGGAACTGTGGGAGATTTAAACGGGTTTTATGAAACGGGAGAACAAAAGAAGAAAGGTGAATCTATAAGACGATGATTAGCAGAGTTTGAGACAGAGAGATGATCCTTCAGGGATCGATGTTTAAGATAATGTCTCCTTGTTGGACCCTAATCCTTCCTCCTCTCTGTCAAACCGTCTGTGTTAATAGAAACACGACAAAGAAAAACGGAACAAAAAGAGATAATGCTAAACTGGATGGATGATTGTTGGATGGATGGTGGATGGATGGATGGATGGATGGATGGATGGATGGATGGATGGATGGATGGTGGATGGATGGATGGTGGATGGATGGATGGATGGATGATTGTTGGATGGATGGATGGATGGATGGATGATTGTTGGATGGATGGATGGATGGATGGATGGATGGATGGATGGATGGTGGATGGATGGATGGATGGATGGATGGATGATGGATGGATGGATGGTGGATTGATGGATGGATGGATGGATGGATGGATGGATGGATGGATGGATGGATGGATGGTGGATGGATGTTTTGTCAGCAGCTGTCGGTTCTTCCATCTGTAGTTAAATCCATGAATCAGTTAAATTATCAGTTTATTTATTTATTTCCCGTCTTTTCTTTGTTCTGTTTTTTTTCTGTTTTCTCGTGTTTCCCCGATAAACTGGTGTCTCCTTTTCGTGCCAAATCTTCCTGACTAGTTGGCATTTAAACAACGCCCGGCCCGGCCCGGCCCGGCCCGGCCCGATGAACCCGGCTCACATGCAGATAGTTTTCACGCCTTCCACATGTGTGAATCCGAAGTGCAGACTGGAGCAGGTTCAGACAGAGGACTTTGTTAATAATTATCCTCTGTCAGATTCCCGTCTGATCCGACACGTCGTCATAAAAACTGCCAGGGAATTTGTTCCTCCAGACGCCTGCAGTGGTTTTATTGTCCCTCTGATTGGTGATGTTATTGGTTTTTAATGACCGTCTTCTGCTGCGCTGCTGTTGTTTGTGTTATGGATTAATGGACGCGTTGCCCTATGGCTTATAATAAAGATGCTAGTGAAGTTAAATTACCTCGTCAACGACAGGTTTGACAACAATAACTTCACATCATTAATCCACTCATTCATGAATCTGTTTGCAGGATTATAAACATATTTCCTTTTTCTCCGCAGAAACGCAAACCAACGTCGTTAGAGATCAAACCTGGGGTTCTTCTTACTTCTTCAGGTAATTTTCACAGATTCTGCCCTTTCAGGAATCATAAAATAAAGCAAAAATAAATTCAATTTGTCAGTTTTATTACTGGAATTAATTTAGCAAATCATTTAATTCTCTCATTTAGCTTTATATGTTCCATTACTCCTCATTTTGATTAATTTGTTTAAAGCACAAATACACAAATAAATTTAAAGTGATAAAAATATGTACTAGAACAAAATTAGGTGTTTTTTTTCTACATCATTTACAGGATTAACTGCAGTAGCAAAGTATTTTTGAGCAGTTCTGTCATATTTTATGGTATATCTGGATAGCAGAGTGCTATCTGTAGTTAATAAACATATTACAACACTATCTAAATCTATAAAATACCGAATATTACTTCTGTATCATGTAGTATTAGTTGGTGTATCCAGCCTAATTGTCCAGAACAAGCAGTGAAATCTCCTGGTTTTACTTTTTTCTTTTGTGCATTACAGAAATATGTTGTGAATTAATACAGATATTAATATCACCTTTACGTGACCTGGAGCCCATGTAGTTCCCGGCTCCATTTAGGTCCAGTTGGTGCTGGAATGTTTTATTAAAATAATGAGCCCACTACAATATCATCTGCATAGAGTCGAACTCATCAGTAAGGATTACTGTGTTAGAGGCTGATTTAGTAATGTAAGCTGTCGGTCAGATATAACTCATGACAGACACAACACTTATGACATAAAGCTCGGGTCCGTTACCATGGCAACAGCCTGTTTTAGTTAATGAATACGTTTTCATCCATTTTAGGTGTCACGTGTGCGGCTTTGAGACGGAGGGCCACGCCCTTTTCAAGAGTCACATGACGGAGCACCGCCAATGGGAACACGGCTCCTTCTCGCTGCACTGCTGCAGGTGCGACCATTCGACCAATCAGGAGGCGGAGATGATGGCCCATGTGGACACGCACATACACGGCGACACGGGAGAAATGAGGTCAGCAGGTGTCCTTTTCTGCAATTGTTTTCTTCATTATGTTTTAATGTTATTTTCAGAAAACAAAGATGTTTAAACATTTCATAACAAAATAGTGACAATGTTTTGAGTTTTTTTTATGGTTTTGTAGCTTATTGTCACATCCTGAAGGGTTATTGGCTTGAAATTTTACCTAAACGTCACAAATTTTTGACACATTTAATATAATTAAGTACTTGTATTTTTTTAAACAATACTGTTTTAACTAAAAATCTTTGGTTTTAGCTTAAATGATTTTTTAATGTCTTGAATGTGTTTATAGGAACAGATATTATAAATAGTATCGTGGTCAGAAGTTTACATACTCACTACAGGCATGAGTGTCATTACTTTTTTTATATTTAGCTTCATTTTAAGGGTAAATGACTAAATTAATAGTTTAAATAAATGTTTGAAATTATACAAGCACATTTAAATATGTATATATAACAAGTAATATTTTGATTATTTCTTTAGAATAATTTAGATACAAAGAAATGTGAGTAGTCAAATTTTCCACAAATAATTTGGAATTACAATCTAAACACTCCAAAAACACAAAATATTTTCAGGTATTTTTCCCCAGTTTTAGTGCAAATACATTAGAACTTGAAATAAGATAAAACTAAACTAGAAGTAACCTTTCAACAAGACAATGGAGCTTGTTTTGAGTGAATATTGATGAAAAGCTGCAGATTTCTTCATTTGTAATATGGGAAAAACATCTTGTTTCCTAAACTATTTAAATTGCTTTGAGAAAGGCATTTGGTTGGTTGGGCTAAAAATAAATGCACACCACACTTTTCAGATTTTATTTCTAAAGGATAATCAATCAATCAATAACATTTCAGCAACAAGACAGTCCACCATAATATCACAAAAATAAAACACAGTCACTAACAGAAGAACCAGAAATGTTTCATTTTCTCTCTGACAATAAATCAGAATTTGTCTGTTTTTCTGTCAGATTAAATCCTAAATAAAGACGATAAAGTGGCAGAGTTCATAACGTTCGCCTGTGAATGTTTCTCATCGTCCAGACGCCCGGCTCCTCTCCCCGCCGCCCCCAGCCGAGCTCTGCCGGTCGCCGTGGCAACGCAGCCAGAGCAGAGCACCTCCGAGCATCGCTGCCGCATCTGCCAGAGGTCGTTTCCCGGGCAACCGGAGCTGCTGGCCCACTTCCAGGGTCATCGCCAGGGCAACCAGTACCGGTGCGACCGCTGCGGCCACCTGACGCGGACGGCCAACAAGCTGGTGGAGCACGTGCGCGTCCACACGGGCGAGCGGCCGTTCACCTGCGGCCTCTGCCCCTACAGCGCCAAGCGGCGGGACAGCCTGCGGCTGCACTGCAAGGTGAAGCACGCTAACGCTAGCGCCAGCGCTAACGCCGACGTGCACACTCACCGGACCTACGCCCCCCACGGAGACGGTCAGCGCTCCAGCAAACACGTCCGGCGGCTGCACACCGCCTCCTCTCTTCCTCGCCCTGCTGCTCCTCCTCTCCCTCCGCTGCTCTCCGACCGCGCAGGATGGAGGGATTTATCTCCTCTCCTCCCCATCACAACACTCATCTCTCTGAAACCTCGCTCCTATTTCTCCTCCTCCTCCTCTTCCTCACCGCCCTGCTCCAACAAACACTCCTTCCTGGGTTACCTCGGCCTCACTTCTTTGTAAATGTTTGCTCTCCTCTCATCCTCCCTCCCTTCTGTCCGTCCTCTGGACTATAAAGCGATGGATGTAAAGTCACCCAGCACTACGTATGAGAATGTCAAACAGCGCTCACATAGGGAATGTTTTCTATTTATTCTACTTTTGCATCAAGCTCGTGGTTTTGCCTGCTTTACTCTTTCATATAGCCACTCTACTCTTAGCTAGGTGACCGTGGGACATATTTATCTATCGCCCGTCTCTCGTCCTCCAGAAATACCGAACCTAAAGATCCGGATTATTTCGTAGTGAAAAACTGTTTTATTTGGATGAAAAGCCTTTCTGAATGAAGTCTGGTTAGTCACTGAAGGAAAGGTCAGATTAGATCAGAGGAGATGCCTCCAGTTTACAGAAAATCAAGCTGAGCAACATTTTTTAAGTTCGTCTTTCAGAGAAGAGAAAGCTATCATGAAGTTAGCGTCGCTTAGACAGCAGCTAGTCGGATAAAAGAGTTATCCGACTAGCTCACAATGACATGAAAAAGATCTTTATTTACATTTTATGAAGAACAAATTCAAACAAAAATCACAGTTTTGTACAAAGTCTTTATGATTCGAGACTAAAATCAGATTAAACATGCAAATAGTGTGAGAATAAAATCATATTAATACGACACTAAAGTCAGAATAATACGAGAATAATGTAATAATGTGAGGATAAAATGATAATAACCTCTCTATACCATGACTGCAGGGTTCTAGTGTAATGACCAACTTTCTGTTTGTTTCCGTCTCATTTTGTGTGAAGTCGCCTCCAAACTTACTGTCTGATTTTTATTTCCTCTTGACTTTAACTTGAAATCATAAAAATATTTTAAAAACTTTTTTTCCTTATCTTATAAATTAAAAGAGCTAAAATCCAGACTAAAAATGTTAACCTTCTTTTAGTTAAATGTTAGGAATCCAGATTTCCTGTAGTTAATTAATATCTCACTCATTAAGGGCTAACTATCATTATTTAAGGTAACCGGTATCATCAAATCCATGAAGTGCTTTTATTTTGTTCTCAGCTGTAGTTTTTCTACTTCCTGTTGGGAGTTTCAGTCGTTGCCTTGTCTTTGTCGCTCCAGGATTTTTAGGGATTCGTTGTTTCTGGAGGATGGTGATGAAATTTCTGATACCTGTGTTGTGTATTGATGATGTATTTGTGTTTACATAACAACATGAGGCTCTACGGAGTACAAAACATCTCGAAAGTTGCACTAAAATGTTGGTTTTCCGAGACGAGAGAGGAATCAGTTTAGACATTTCTTTATTTTATTACAATCACTGAAACACTCAAAAAGCCAAATAAACCCACATATTTACATTATATCCCATTTTAACAGTTTATTAACGGTTTAATTAAATATAATATCAGGAATCAGAAACATAAACAAATGGGCAGACCTAATTAAAGTAATATTGTAAATTTTCTCACTTTCCAACCTGAATGAAGCAAAAAAAACAAATATATCTTTTTAAACCCTGTTATTTTTTTAAAAGTGTTGATCAAAACATGGAGGATTGTGCAATTTACCTTTTCGCATATTTTTATTTATAGATTTATTCACATGACTTTATTATCACAGCATGACAGCAAGTGATTCTTCCCCTAGAGAAGAATCATTTAATCTGCTTTATTATTTTTCAAAAACCTGGAGGTGTGTTGGGCATAAACAAATACAGAAACTGCTTTTGTATTTTTTCAACTCAATATTTTATTGAAAAACAACAAAAGACAACACACCAGATGACAAACTTTAATTATCTTTAATTATTCACATCTTCTGAATTCAGCAGGAAGACAAACATATTTTTAATGAGATAAAACAGAAAAACAATCATCAGTCCTATAATTTACTGTTTAATTTCACATTTCTGAGGAATTATTTGAAATCACTGAAGACAAAAGCAAAAATTAGCTTTAAATGGTTCTAATCTTTAAGCCTCATTCAGTTATAAACATTTCTGTAAAATAAAACATACATTTCATTCAATTCAAGTTAATTATATTACACCCATTCACATCAACCTAATTCATTTCAATACATAATCTTAATCTGCTTCGTGTCGTTCCATGTATGCATGGATTTTTTAAAAACACTTGACATGTTTGGTCTAAACATGAGGAAACTAAATTTTTGAACATCAGGTCCTGTAACGTCTTTAAATGTTTGCATGTTGTGTTTTTATGAAAGTTTCTGCTATCAAAGTTCAGGTACATAAGTGAGAAATTCACAGAGTCCTGCTGGATCATGACCAGGAACGTTACTTTTCCCTGAGATCATCGTCTTGTTTTGTTTTCTTTGTCAAAATAAAGGATCAGCTGACTGTCGGCTGACAATATCATATGAGAGCCCTTAAGTGTTTAAATAACGATTGACCAAATTTATATCGCTTCTCATTATGACTAGAACAGATCAGCAACATTTACGGGTCAAAGAGCCACTTTTCCTCTCGCTGCTACAAAATAAAACTTTACATGAGCTGCTGGATTTACCTGTAATCCACCTAAACCAAAAATTAGCTACATATTAGCAGAATTATGCTGAGCACTAATCAATACTAACCCATATGCAATGCTTCTATTCATCGGTTACAATTAATTTGCAAAAAATTTATTTCAATTTAATTTCACTAACTTTCTTTCCAAGTTAGAACTAAAGAAAAATTAGCTAGCTGTTAGCTCATTAGCTACTAACTGATGTACAATGGTTACATCCATTGGTACCTTAAAATAGCGCCTTAAAATTTATCTTGAAAATTTTGATTAAGGGGAAAATAAATGCTAAACATTTTCAATGTAAGCAAAAAATACTAAATGAAAAATTAGCAAGTTGTTACCGTAACAGGAAGTGAGTCTACCACTGCTTAAACCGTAAATATTTGTTTCAATATCTGGTGTGCTGTCTATTTGCTGTTTTTGGGGAACATTTTGATTTAAATAACTTATTTTGTTTGATATGTTAGCATCCATCTGTTTTCTGTAATCAGGGCAGAAAAAACATTTAAATTTTGACATTTTTTTGTTGTTTTTTGCTTCCAAATTTAACCTTGGATGAACTTCAATCACCTTAAAATTCCTTATGTACCAAAAGTTTTTATTCTTTTTGCCTTTTTTGACTTCATTTTCATGTTTAGACTGAATGTAACGCGGCTTTTCTGTGACCCAGCATGTCTTAAGAGCAGGTTCGTAATGAAAATAACTCACTTTAGACAGGAACAGCCTTCCTTCCTCGCTCCCTGACAACAGGACGTAATTATATGAATGTTTCAGCTCACCACGTTTTACTGCTTATGTTGTTGTGGTTTGCTGCAGATTCATGAGATGCAATCTGAATATTTCTAAGCTTTTTATTTATTCATGTTTTTGTTGCACAATGCGCATGTGCAGAAGAGACAATAACGTGTGCAGGAAGGACGAGACAAACCTGCACACCGGTGTTTTAATATGAAATCTAATCAATGGTGCTGGACTCTGCACGTCTCTTTTTTTAACACTTTATTTACTCACAGATGCATGAAATAGTAGAAACATTTTGTCTGTGGTTCACCTTTCATTTCCTGGGTTTCTCTGCTGTATCCTGTAACTGTTTGCTGCTGCGATGATCAATAATAAACTTTAATTTCATCCGGCTCACCTCTGCTCCCGGGTCCTTCCCTGCTCAGGTCACGTGACTTTCGGATCGCGTTACCGTGCAGAAAGTGGGTGTTAAAGGCTGCAGTGATTTCATAAGATGACTCCGCGGAGCCGCGATGCGCTGCGAGCCGAGCAGGAGAAACGGCTCCGGCAGGCGGAGGGGAAGAAAAACGGACCGTTTCCAGAGAGAAACCGGGATGAAGGTCACGCACCGCATTCACCACGCGAGTGGGAGGATGAGTGTCAGCCGCCATGGGTCCTGTCCCCCTCCTCGCCCGTTGCCATGGCGACCTGGCATGCTGTAGAACCGAGCCGCGGCGCGAAGGCCGCGCTCCGCCGCGCACAAAGGTCATTATTAGATCTGAGGAAATGGCACCGGAGGAGGAAGAAGAGGAGCCGGGAGGTGGAGGAGGAAGCTCAAGATGGGAGAAATGCCACATGTCTGCGACAGACTGTGAGGGTCACTGTGGAGAGGGAGATAAGGAGGACATTTTGAGGGTTAGCTCAGAAAAATTCTAGAAAAGCTCGGAAATTTCTAGGTTTGAAAAGTCAAATGTTTGCTTAAAAACACACACATCTTTAGATTAATGTCAGAAATGTTCTAGAAAAAAAAAAACTCCACCTAAAGTGAAAAATTCGTGAGAAAAAAAATTATAGAAGAAATGAGGAATTTCTCAGTTTTAAAAGTTAAAAATTTGCTTAGAAAAAAAAGAATTTTTTTGTAGATTATTCTCAGAATATTTTTTTAGAAAAAAAAAACATTTCTGAGGAAGGACCTTATTTGTTAGCTAGTTCTGCTAATCTACCCCCTTTGCTTTTGCCACTCCTCTTTAAATTTCTGTCTGGTTTTCCAAGAGTTGTGAGAGAAAACTCCAAAATATTGAAATTAATCTCAGAAATTTTCTGGAAAAAGCAAGGAAAGTTCTGAGTTCCACAAAACAAAAATTTCCACAAAAAAGAAGACATTTTTAGATTATTCTCAGAATTTTCTGGAAAAAAAACTTGGACATGTTCAACTTTGTGAAGTTTTCTGAGTTTCTCAGAAATTTCCAATTGTTTTGTTTTTGGAAAATTTCTGAGATTAGTTTCTCAAAAGCTCAGACAATACTTGAACTCTGACCCCAAATCCAGGAGGAGCTGAGAAGGGAAGTTTCATGGATGCATAGAGAGAAGGAAGATGTTCAATCTTTTCCTCCATCAGTCATAATGAGCCAGGACCATATCCCCTACTCTAACATCTTTCTAACCACACGGCTAAAGAGGAGCAGCAAAAGCAAATGAGGTGGATTAGCAGAGCTTGCAACAGCTGTTGGTGTCACCTAGGACATGTGGAATATCGTCTCTACTGCCTTAGTCTGGAGGTGTCAGCATGAAACTGTTACAGCAACAGTCTTCAGTCAGAGGCTTCTTCAGATTCGTTGCATGACTGGCTGCTACTGGAGATTCTTCCAACAACTCTTTGAACGTACTGCAATGATATTTAATTTCTTTTTGGAAGAAATAAAGTAGTTTAATCTGAACTGGACTAGATTTTTCAGGTCACCAACATCTTTAGTATCATAAAAATTCAACCTGAGTCGACAGAAAAGCCGATTTCCAAATTGTGATTTCAGTTATCAAAGGTAGAAACTATTGGTTGTGTCTTTAAAAACACTTTATTGGAATATGAGACACCATTTCGGTGGAGAATTGCATTATTTTAGCCACATTTAAGAATTTTAAATACATTCAGCTTGTTTAATATCAAACCACAGTCCAGACTTTGACTAGGTCACTCCAAAATCTCCTTCTTTATTTGAGCATTTTGTTAATAAATCTTAAACTGTCTAAAAACATATTTTTTAAAATCTTTACAGTCGTTCATACAGTTGTACTAAGTGTCTTAGTTGATCATTGTTTTTCACACCAGATTATTGGTTGAAGGTCCTCGTGTCCCGCCTTGATGCCGTTTAGCTAACCGGTGTAGAAAAAGTTTTCTAGACGCTGCGTTTCCATATGTGCAGCCTGCTGCATATCATCATTACCGTCCCCCTGCTAACCCCATAAATTATAGATTAAACAAGCCAGCGGTGTGGAAACCTGTTTGAATTGGCACCTGCTGCACGGCTAAGTAGCGTCAGGTCATTAACCAGGATAATCATCCAAACCAGGCACACAGTTTAGGAATTTGTGAATGAATCCTGGTGCTTTTTGTTTGAAATATCAACTGCATAAGTTAAACACTTTAGAAATTGTTTAAAAATGTTAAATATCGCGCCTTCCTTACTTTTAAAGACATGTCTTATTATTATAATATTATTCATACACAAGAAAAGGTGCGATAGGACATCAAAGGATTGACAAAAAATGTTAACAAATTGAAACAGAAAGTTGCAGAAAATTAAATTCAAACACATTTTATTTATCCTAAAAGGGAAGTTAAATGCCTTGCCTCCAGGCAAGAGGTGGGGTCACCCTGGATAAGTCACTAGTCTGTCGCAGGGCAACACAGAGTCACACACACCTAGGGGCAATTTGGAGAGACCAATTAACCTGACGGTCATGTTTTAGACTGTGGGAGGAAGTTGGAGTACCTGGAGGAAACCCACACATGCACAGGGAGGACATGCAAACTCTATGCAGAAAGACTGGAGCTGGGAATTGAACCCAGAACCTTCTTGCTGCAAGGCTATCAACTGTGCCACTGTGCAGCCTGAAAACTGAAATTGAAATTTGAGGAACAAAAGTATTAAACTGATCTAGGAGAAGAAATGTCCATTTTTCTGTAATGAATGAATCGTAGTGCAGAACAACATGTTCCAGCTGCCCAGACGACCGGCTGCACTCAGCAGTTTCTCTGAAGAATGGAAATCAATGATGCTGCTGCTGCTGCAGCTGATGCTGCTGGACCTGCTGCTGCTGGATGCAGGAACAAGCAATGACAAAGGTGAGGATGATGATGAGAAGGGAGGGAGAACTGACCTGCAACTTGTTTTTAAACAGCAGCTGATTCACTTTGTTGTTATAATTATTTTTTATTGCGTTTTAAGATTTTCTGTAAATAAAGAGGTGAAAAATTCAGAGATTTATTTTGTTAATGATTTCTGGGAATTTTCCAACAAATGTAATGCAATATGCAGTGAAGAACAAAAAGTTTTAGCAGTGACTAAAGTTTTGCTTTCTACAAAATTTGATGTGTTAATAGTAATTATTATTATTATTATTATTATTATTATTATTATTATTATTATTATTGTTGTTGTTGTTGTTGTTGTTTTTGAATTATATTTGAATATATTGCTTCAATTATTTCATATTTCCTGTGCTATCCAGTCCATTATGAAGTCTTCTAAGCTGCATTTATAGTTTATGAAATATAGCCTAACATTGATTGGTTAACCTGCACAGCAACTCAACTGCAGACCAATCAGCTTGTTTATAGAGAAAAACCAGTTTATATGAGTAAAACCTGCTGGTTGATAGGAAATAATTACAGAAAAAATAAAAACATGATCATATGTTTGAAATAAATATTTTCACACGAACAATTAAAATGGTGTGTTAAATAAATAAAATGTTACACGATGATAAATCAATTCATTAATTTATTTAACGTTAGTATTTCCAAATGTTTTGGATATCACTAATGTTATTTATTTAACAAGTTATGAATATAAATTTGGTTGTTTTAAAAAACAAGAAAGAGATTTTTGCTATCTGATTGTTTGATAAAAGTGTTTTTGTTGTTTTTGTCTTTTTCAGTCATTTCTCCATAAGACTGATACTCTGTTTAGCTTTTACTTTGAAATTAAACCGGAAACAATACGTAACACTGCGTGTGACTTCACTCTCATGGCCAGAAGGGGGCGTGTTGTCAGTTTTTAGCTCTCCTGCTAACGGCAGGCTAAAGTTTCACTTTCTGCCGCTGAGGAGGTTCCTGTGCTGGACACCCAGGACTTCCCGGGAAACGAAACCAGAAGTAGTTCTAGTTTTACCAGAGGGCCTCCAGATCGCAAATGTGTATTTGCGACTACATTCAGCGGTGATATTACCAGTTTGTGTTCAAGTTTCTCCCCTTTGACCGCCTCCTAACCGTCGCTTTACGCAGCTAGCTTTAGCGGCTAGCCCCCCGCTAGCATGGACAGCGGCGGAAACATGCAGAGTAATGAGGAGCGAAACGCGGAGAAACAGATGGATAACTACTTGAAAGCGATAGGTTTTCATCGGAAGAAGATTGCCAAAGATGGATCGTGTCTGTTCCGAGCCGTGGCCGAGCAGGTAAAGTGGGGCAAAGCAGTAAAATGTTTGTGGGAAGTTGTTCTCCGGTTAGCTTGCTGCGCTCAGGTGAGGTGTGTTTGTTGTGTTGCTGTGCGATAGCGACTTCTCCGAGTTTAAATTTAACTTTCCCAAACGGGGAACGCCGCAGGATAAATCTAACACGCCTCTGCGGTTTCCTACTCCCAAATATTCGATCTAAACTTACAATATAACACAGATGTTGTATGTTTTTGTCTTAAAAGTGGCATAACGCTGAATCCTGCCTGTTTTAAGTGTTGACCCTTGACCCTGCCCAGGTACTGCACTGCCAGAGCCTCCACACTGAGGTCCGGGCCAAATGCGTGGAGTTCCTGAAGCAGAACCGGGACAGCTATGAGGCGGTAAGCACCAGCTTTAACCACACTTTACATTTATAACATAATTTCATTCTATTATAGGAATATTATGATTCTAGACAGAGCTGAGTACAGTACCCAGACAGTAAAGTAAAAATAGCAACTCTAAAACATATTTATATTCAAATAAGAGTAAAGAGATACTGAGCTCATAACAACTGATTAAATTTAAATGATGTCCTCAGAGATTAAAAGTATAAAGTTTTGAGCAAATTTTGATATTTTAAACACTAAAATTATAGGTCATATGCAAATACATATGATTATAAAACAAAATTCTGTCAAATAAAACAAAACTAATACATGCAGTAGGTAATATACATGTTAGTGTCTGTAGTGACAAT